TATATATATATATATATAATTATTTTTATTATTATATAATTATTATTTTTTCTGTAGAAAATCTACAATCTAAAATCTAATAATAATGGTTAGTGCTGTCAAACGATTAATCGCATACAAAATAAAAGGTTTTGTTTGCATAATATACTGTATGTGTGTGTTCTGTGTATATTTATTATGTATATATAAATACACACACATACAGTATATATTTAGAAAATATTTACATTAATATCATTTATATTATAAATAAATATATTTAACATATAAACATAACATATTTTTCTGAAAAATATACATGCATGTGTGTTTATTTATATCTACATAATAAATATACACAGCACACATACATATCTTATGTAAACAAAAACTTTTATTTTGGATGTGATTCATCGCGATTAATTGTTTGACAGCACTAGAAATAATAATAATTTTTTTGTCATAATTTATTAGACAAATGATATGAAACCCTGAATATTACACTATAGTGTTCCTAGAAGTTCTTGCACTTTGTTTGTTTGTTTAAATACATATTTAGTTGCTAAATATAAAACTTAAATAATTATAGTAATGATATAAATGTAAATATCATAAATAATATTAAAAATAAATATTAGTTAATAATAATAATATTAAAATAAAAGTTAAAATACTAATACCACTATTATTATAGTCAACTAAAACTGAAAATTAGATTTAGATTTTAGATTGGAGTTAGATTTTTTGTTTAAGCTAGTTGTCAAAGCAATATTTCTTATTTTCATTTAGCCTTTTTTAGTTTAAACGTAAAGTAAAAATTTATAAAAAATATATTCAGACATTTAAAATTAAAAATGGCATAAGCATAACAAAATTACTAAAAATGTAACTAAAATTCAGATGAAAATAGAAAATGTATATATATATATATATATATATATATATATATATATATATATATATATATACAGTATATATATAGAGAGAGAGAAATTTCACTAGTTAAATAAAAAATTCTAAAATAGGGTGTTTTAGTTTATTGTAAATTGTATTGTACTTTTCCTGTCACCCTAATTCTGTCAAATATATCTTTCTAGTTAAAAATGTAACTAAAATTCAGATGAAAATAGAAAATGTATATATATATATATATAGAGAGAGAGAGAGAGAGAGAGAGAGAGAGAGAAATTTCACTAGTTAAATAAAAAATTCTAAAATAGGGTGTTTTAGTTTATTGTAAATTGTATTGTACTTTTACTGTCACCCTAATTCTGTCAAATATATCTTTCTAGCGGTTCCAGTAGTTATTTTGCTCTCAAACAAATGCATGAATTTGTCTACATCCCTACCCTAATGAGCTTAAAGCTTGTTTTCAGATGATAGAGCAATGCATGATACTGTAATTGTTCAGAATATCTTTTATGTTTTTATCTTGTTTCAAACTGTGTGTAGGATTGGGAGAGATGTGAAAAAGGTATCGGAGGATCTCTAGAGAAACTAAGAGCTTTTAAACGCCAGCTGTCCCAGCCGCTTCCAGATCGCAATGAGGAGCTGCAGTCTGAACAAATGCGCTGCAAGGTATGCAGAGTTCAGATTCAGTGAGGGAAACTGAATAACAGTGAAATGATGAGAAATAATAAACGCCCACATCCCGCAGGATCTGGAGAGCATGTTTGACGGCTGGAAGGAGGATTTGACCCATCTGACGGTGTTGAGAGAGTCTCTGTCCAGTTACATCAGTCCTGAGGATCTGCGTGTGCTGCAGGAACGCATTGAACTCCTGCACCGCCAGTGGGAGGAGATCGGTCACCAGGTACACTCAGTAACCTCTGGCCGTTAGGTGGCGCTGTTTCACTACATATGCCTGCGTTGTTGCTTTCAAAACCTTCCTAGACATCATAGGCACATTCAAACTAATGCTCTCTGGGCTCCATAGGAAGCTCATTAGATTTTATAACACATTTTTTAAATCACCGTTTTCAAACATTACTGCATCAGAGTTTGTTTTGCAGAACATATTATCATATGTTTTTTAGGGCTGTCAAAAAAAAATTCGAACTTCGAATATTCGTCGAATAAAATAAAATAAATCCACATTTGAATGCAAAAACGTTGCATTCGAATTTTAGGTCTGCGTCAGCCGTCAGGCAGCCTTATCAGTGGCGCACGAGATGCGATGACGATGTAAGTGTCATTGCATTTGAATGCTTTTGTTAGCCTATCCAGTTGAACCCACTAGATGCGGCGCTGCTACGTTGTTCATTCAATATATAGTGGAAAACGAGAGCATCAGTGTGGAGAATATGTTGTTTACGGTGAAACCGAAACCAAGCCGTTCACACAAAACGCATATTTATCACATTTTCTAGCGGGGCATCTATCAGCGTTGCACTCGCGTCTCACACAAGAGAGCGGCATGTTTAGAAAGCCATGTAAAATTAATGCAAGTTCAACTTTTAAAAAACATGTCTCAAGACTTTATGGCGGTTTTTCCCCATCCCACTCTATCTCATGTTTTTAAATGAAGAAAGTAGCCTACTCTTTGTGATTGGTTTTCGGTCCTTTGTATTAAACTATACATACATGCATGGTGCTGTTTTTTTTCTAATTGTTTAAGCAACTTTATTAATTATATATGGTTTATAAACATTATTTTAAACATTATGCACTTTTTTTCAAAGATAGTCGTGTTATTTTATTACGCTTTGAAGAAACGTGCATAATATTTTGCTCGATGCGCCCTCTTGTGACCTCAGGAGAAAAGCTTTTTTCCCCCTAACTGAAATTATGCCTTATAAATTCGAATATAATTCGAATTTTGATTATATTTAAGTGGAAAATTCAAATTTAGTTTTTCAGTCGTTTTGACAGCCCTAATGTTTTTGCTAGTAGAGAGCAATGCAAAGCACTCAAAGTGAAACTTGAATGCGAAGCATGAAGAGTTTTATGCACCTTCTGTGTTTGTGGCATCCGGTGCGTGAGCTGAGACACCACAGGATGTGAGCGTACGTTTGATATCTCAGTAGAGACATTTAACTGTAGGGACAGGCTGTCAGAAACTCTTCACTCATGCTGTATTCTTACTGATGCTCTGGTAAGGCTTTTGCCTTTCCTTCAATATGGTTTTGGGAATGTGTAACTGTGTTTATTTACACTTTAATTTTGCACATTATAAAGATACAGAGAGACGTTGTGGCTAAATATTCAATTGAATCTACTTAGATTTGGTTTAAATGCTCAACCATATTTTGAAATTACTGAAGGCCAATGTTTTTGTGTATTTGTCTGTGCAGTTGTGTCTGCGAAGGCAGCAGGCGAGTGAGAAGCTGAATGAATGGGCCATCTTCAATGATAAATATAAGGAGCTGTGTGAATGGCTGACGCAAATGGAAAGCAAAGTATCCCAGAATGGAGACATCAGCATCGAAGAGATGATTGAGAAATTACGAAAGGTAGCGATTAAATGTTACATTTCTTTTGTGTTATATATATATACAGTATATATATATATTTATATATATAGAATGTTAAACATAATGGGAATGTTTTTCCATGTCCCTCAGGACTATCAGGAGGAAGTGGCGGTGGTTCAGGAGAATAAACACGAGCTCCAGCAGCTGGGTGAACGTTTAGCTCGGGCCAGTCATGAGAGCAAAGCCTCTGAAATTGAACACAAACTCGGTAAAGTCAACGAACGCTGGCAGCATCTGCTCGACCTCATTGGGGCCAGGTACTGTAACACACACCGCGATGTGGTTGGCATTATCAGCACTATTTCACACAATTTGTACTCAAAATTCATTTTTTTCTAATTCAATAATGATTGAGGTTTGAATCTGCATTGTGTTTCAGTTACATTTCCTTTTTAATTTAGTTTGTTTTAATTATTTAATTTTGTGATTTTTTTTGGGAATTTTGTCATTTTGTCATTTTTATGAATTTTTAATAAATATTTCTTGTCATGTCTGTGAATTTTTAATTTCAGTTTTAGTTGTAATTTTAGTACATCAAGTTGCTGAATGGAAGTGAGAAATGCTGCCTTGGCAACTAGTCTAGATCAAATAAGCTTAGAATTTAAAATAAAATGTTTATATTTTATTTTAGATCATGTTTTCTTTATAGTTCGAGTATAGATGTAGACACAGTATATCGTGTCAGAAATAGTGAAAAGGCTGATGATATCTGTGTTGTTTATTCAGGGTGAAGAAGCTGCGGGAGACTTTAGTGGCCGTTCAGCAGTTGGATAAGAACATGAATAGTCTGCGCTCTTGGCTCGGCCACATCGAGACTGAACTGTCCCGTCCCATCGTGTACGACACCTGCGACTACCAGGAGATCCAGAGGAAACTGGATCTACAGCAGGTACACACACACACACACACACACAGTGAATTCAAAAAGCATTTTGTTTGTTTGTTTCAGATAAAACATTATTGTGTCCTTCGTTCAGGAGCTGCAGAGAGACATCGAGAAGCACAGCACAGGTGTGGCGTCTGTGCTGAACCTGTGTGAGGTGTTGCTGCACGACTGTGACGCGTGCGCTACAAACGCCGAGTGTGACTCCATCCAGCAGGCCACACGCAGCCTGGACCGCCGCTGGAGGAGCATCTGTGCCATGTCCATGGAGAGGAGACTCAGGTATGACCCATGAATCACACCGCATACCTTTTATTTTTATATTTTTATTAAATTTGAGTTTGTTTTATTTTTAGTTCTGTTTTAGTTTTACAAATGTTATCTTAAATTTGTTTTATTTCAGTTAGTTCCCAAAGCAACATTTCTCATTTTAGTTTGTGTTATTTTATCTATTTCAGCTTTATTGCAGCCTTATTTCAATGAATGAAAATGATTTTTTATAGTTTTATTTATACTTAAAGTTAACGATAACAATGCTAAATACACCTTTGTGTTGTTCATGTTGTTAATGACAAATTTAAACCTAAATTTTGTTTATTATTTTATATTTTGTATTTTATTTTCATAGTTTATTTTTAATCGTTTAATACAGAAATTGTGCTAAATGTCAAATTTAAACAAATTTTGCTCAACATTTTATATTTTTTAATGTTAATCTATTTCAGCTTTATTGCAGCTTTATTTCAATTAATGAAAATTATTTATTTTTTAATAGTTTTATACAATAATTGTGCTAAATGACAAATGTAAACCTACATTTTGCTCATGTGAAAGGATTGAGGAGACGTGGCGTCTCTGGCAGAAGTTTCTGGATGACTTCTCTCATTTTGAAGAGTGGCTCATGTTGTCGGAGAAGACAGCCGCGCTGCCAAACTCTTCAGGTGTCCTTTACACTGTTGCCAAAGAGGAGCTCAAGAAATTTGAGGTGAGATCATCCAGACTGAATTAATGTAGTATTGTTGAACAGATTTGTGATATTAACGCTCTGTGTTTCTGTAGACGTTCCAGCGGCAGGTGCATGAAAGTTTGACGCAGCTGGAGCTGATCAATAAACAGTATCAGAGACTGGCACGTGAGAATCGCACCGACGCCGCCTGTAATCTGAGAGAAATGGCCCACAACGCCAACCAGCGCTGGGAGAACCTGCAGAGACGAGTGTCATCTGTCCTACGCAGGCTAAAGGTACAGAGCTCATTGATTCCTTTTACACCACCATTTATACTCAGTTGATGCTTAGACAGTCATCACTTTGATACATATTATAATAACACAAATCTGTGAAAGAACTTTCTGTCTTTGTTTTTTACCTGCTCATTAAAATCAGAAGTTAATTCAAAAATAATTTATCAAATGCATAACAATGTCCCACACTAATTATAACCATTTCTTGGAAATATAGTTTAACTTTTAAATTGTGTATTTATTTTAAATAAATAGTTTAATGTAACTTTTAAATATTGTACTAACAAAAAAAAAAGTATTAAATATACACATAATATAATAAATCATAAAAGTATTATATATATATATTATGTACATTCTTCAATAAATCAATATATAATACATGAAATAATATAATCCAAAGTTATATTTTTGTAAATTAACCTTTTAGTCCAATTGGGTTAAATCAGCTGTTGCAAAACAAATAAATATGTATTATTATATAATAATATTAATGATTTTATTAAATGCAAGTGAATCTGATTTTTGAAGCATTTGTTATGTCCACCGCAGCACTTTATATGTCAGCGGGAGGAGTTTGAGACGGCACGCGACTGTATCCTGGTCTGGCTGACAGAGATGGACCTGCAGTTAACCAACATTGAGCATTTCTCCGAATGTGACGTCCAGGCCAAAATCAGACAGCTGAGGGTACGTCTCTGGCCTTTATTACTGCACGTGTTCTCCATATCTCCTGTGTCATTCTCTGATGGAGGTTCTCTTCTGCGTCCAGGCGTTCCAGCAGGAGATCACTCTGAACACAGCAAAGATTGACCACATATTCCAGCAGGGTGAAGCTCTTCTGGAAAAGAGTGAGCCGATAGATGCTGCTGTGATGGAGGAAGAGCTTGAAGAACTGCAGCGTTACTGCCAGGAAGTGTTTGGACGTGTGGAGCGCTACTACAAGAAACTTATACGATTACCGGTACTTTAAATACAGCAGATGCTTTTTCTGACTGATATTGGAGTCCTCTTCCATTCTCCTTCAATTTGTTTCAGATTTATTTATATGTACCTACATACCTATTTATTTATTTATACATTTGTTTGTTTTTTGTTTATATTTATTTTCATATCTATATGTACCATTTTCATTTATATTTACCTTTTTGTTTATGACTTCCTTTATATATGTATTAATTATTTACTCATTCATTTATTTGATTTTTTTATATTTATTAATTAATTAATTTTATTTTATTTTAATATTTATTTATATTTACATTTATTTTAATATTTATATGTACCATTTTTATTTACATTTACCTTTTTATTTAATATGATTACTATAATTGTTTTTTTATTTTTATTACTATAAAAATTTACATCTGCATCTTAACTCAAGCTACTACTACTGTCAAATGTGCATTTCTAAGAGACAAAAATATTATTAATAAATATTATGATTTGAAACAACATCACATACAAAACATGCAGAAACTAAGAAATAAATTTGTCTATTAAGATATTTATTTTGTTAAGGAAATTTAACAGTCTGGTTTCTACAACTTTCACTTTGGAGCAAAAATATGGCTTTAAACTTGAAAGAATTAAAGATTTGACATATACACCATGATAATTATCGATAATGACTGATATGAAAAAAATTTGTTTTGGCCATATCGCCCAGCCCTACTACTATGTCCAAAGGAAGAATTTTACATATCAAGGTCAAATTTGAATTTGAAATCACAGAAAAATATTTTTACATAAAGAAAATGAAGCCTAATTTTTTTATTATAAAGCAATTTCCCCCCTGAAATTCTCTTAATTGTTAAACATCTGAATATTTTTTTAAATTAGATTCACATTGCTGGATGTTTGTTTAAATCTGTTATTTTATTATTATGTATACTATTATAGTATTTATTAATATTCTGATTTAGCTTTTACTTTTTATTTCCAGTGTTTCTTTCAGTAGTTTAAGTTGTAGTCATTTTATTAGTTTTTATTTAGCTTGAATTTTTTTTTTGTTATAATTTTAATACTTTCAACATTTTATTTCAGTCCGTTGTCAAAGCAACATTTCTTATTTTAAAAGTTTTTCATCTAATATTTCTATTTTTTCAGCTTCTTTTCAATGAACAAATTTTTTTTTTATAGTTTTAGTTAATAGTATCAACACTGGTTTAAAATAGCGTTTTGTGCATTTTTAAAAATGCAAAATTTAAATAATATTTTTGCATCACAGTAATGAGAATGGACATAGTCTATTAATTATAATTCTGTAGTAAATTGCCATGAAAATATGTTAATGCAAAAAAGCTTTAAGTCAGCAGATTTTAAAACACACGTGACCTGCTCAAAATGATCATCCAATGAATCGGTCTATCACTATCAAATCTCAGTTTGTAATAAGAAAACAATTCCTAATCGAATTGCCTGGATAAATAAAGGTGGTTTCAGTGGCCTGGTGCTGTGTTTGCGTGTGGACGAACGGCCTAACCACGTAGAAAAAGCTGCGGTTTTAAAAAATAACCGCGTTCGTGTGGACCGGGCCTGAGCTTGACACCCCTGCTATATAGCAGTATTAAATTAGACATAATTATATATAAAAATGACAGAAACACATAACAAAATTGCTAAAACTTAAACTAAAATCTTCTTGTTTGTTGGTTATCCATCATAAACTTAAGAAACTTAAATGAAACTAACTAAAACTATTAAAAATAATTTTCAGTAATTGAAATAAAATATAAATATTGAAAATCCTTAATACTGAACATCCTAAACTTAAAATCTTAAACTTGAAATCCTAAATTTAAAAAACTTAATTAGAAATGTTGCCTTACTAGATTACTAAAACTGCAATAAAAATTTATTAAAGCTGTATAGAAATACAAAAAAATAATAATAATGAGGAAAACACAGATTATAAACCTAAACTAAAATGAAAATGAAAACTAAAAGTATAAAAATGAAAGTTATTAAAAAATATTAATAAGTACTGTAAAAGTATATAAAAAATACTAAAATAATACTAATGCCATGATATTCTTTGAACCACTGTTATAGCGAGCACTCCCAGTCGCCAGCGATCGGTAACACATCACCCTCACGTTCTGTTGGGCCCTTCAGAGATCAGTGTTTGCTTGTCACGTTGAGCTGATAGGTTGACACTTGAATGTACCTGGAACTTGGCCTCCAAAAACACACTTGACACCTTATTAGTATGCTCAGAGTTCCTCCAAAACTCAAGACCTTCCCAGCATGCTCTCCTCTAATGCAAGAGCTGAATCAGAACTGGAGATACTACATCCTATTGATTGATCTTTTACACAACTAGTCCCACCCGTATCACAGCCCTAAATTCTGGCTTGGTTTGTTCCTCCACTCATTTCCCACATTCATGTTTATTCTAGATTCCCACACTGTAGTCATCAAGGAATACTGGTTCTATGAAAAAACAAAACATGTCCAGGTCATATTTAACCTCAAAATTTAGCATTAAGAAAATGAAGCCTTTTTGGTCCATTAACATTTTATGATTATAATGATTATAAACATTATAATGACATTCAAACACATTTTCCTCTCACATTGTTACTGTAATGCATCCAGATGTTTTATTAGTTTTTTTATATTTTTTATTTTTATTTTTAAGAATTCTCATCAGATTCTCATTACAATAATACAATGATGCATAAGTCAACAAACTATCACTGTAATGTATGTATATTTTACATTTTTAATAATTAAAATAATTAATTAAATTCTAATAATTATATGAATTAAATTCTAATAATTACAATTATTAGCTTATCATGCTACTTAATTTTTGTTTGTAATATTTATAATACTTAATGATAATATAATATAATATAAAATATATATATATATATATTTTTTCTAATAATAAAAAAATTGTTTTAAAGCTTTTTCCTGTATTATGGCCTTTATGTAATACACAATTTCCTGCATAAAATATGACCTGTGACATTCTCAGAAAACAGACAAAATGCCCTTTAAAAGCTTTTTCAAATATTAAAGGATCCCTTGTTGGCAAGGTGGTTTTTCTGAGAAGGGTGTCATGAAGAACCAGTTTCTTTGTCTCCATAGAAGTGCTGTCACCCCCTCATTTGATTTTGTTGGTGCTCTTCTTTTTTTGGGGTTCTTTCATCAGTAGCTTTGTCTTTATTTGCCTGGACTGAAACATTATTTCTTTCTTTTACCCCCCTGTTCATTGCAAACAGCCACGGGGCAAAAGTAGTCTGTCACAGCCCGGAGCCTTTGTGAGCAGTCCACTTCACAGGTACCTTTCTCCTGGTTTCTAGAACACTTGGAAGATAATGGAACTCAACCCATGACCTGACCGTAGGCCCCTAGCTCTAATGGCTCTGGGTTGACCCCTAAGTGGACAGTGTCCTACAAACCTGACAGACCTGCAGCATGTCACGCATGCAGAAATATTAGCAACCTACAGGCTCATGCTGATGACTTCCATCATCTTCTGTGATTCTAGACACTGCTCAGCTTAGGGAGCTGAGATAGACACTACATGCACCAGACCAAAAGCGTGCTTGTTTTCTATATTTTGCGGCTGTAAATATGGATGTGCTAGGCTGCTTGCTGCTGAGCCGTTCATTTTTCTTGTCTATTCAGCAAGCGTCTGCAATGAACAATCTTGGCAACTTTCTCTTTTTCTCTCTCTGGTGTGTCACATCTGCTCTTTCACCGACTAATCAATCATCTTCTCCCTCCTCCAATCTGCCATCCGTGCAGTTTGATGACATGCTAGAGAAACGTGACGTGCGTTACAGAGGACTCCCTACCGTGGGACTGTTCTGATAGGTGCAAACAATCTGATTTCCCATGTGTCCGCATGCAGTGGGTTATGGACTTTTTAAAGATTTTTTTAATTATAAAATAAGTTTAATAATGATCATATGTTATTTTAATACAAGATAATTGAAAGGAGCAGCAAAATCTGGTTTACCATGATGTGTCAGCATTAATGATGGTTAATCACACATTTTTTGTAGTGGATCATAGTAAAATTCTAGTTTAATAATATTTATTTTTTATATAATAAAATTGTTAAGATTTTATATTTTATAAGATTTATATAGTTAAGATAATTGTTTATTTTAAAAACTATTGTCCCATAAGTATAAATAATGCCAGTGTGTCCTCTTTAAAAATTCATATTTACAATATAATTACCACATTATAATAATTTTTTTGTGTGTTTTTATTATAGAATGTTAAAAAATATATATTTTTTCGTATTAAACGTGGTTATTCACAAACAGCTGTTTTGTAGTGGGTTATGGTGAAATGACAAGAAGTTAATTTATTATTAAATAATTAAGTTAAATAATTAAGTATATTTTTTTATATATTAAATATAAAATAATCAAGTATTTTATTTTGAAAGAATTGTTTGAGATTACGATTATTTTTGAATATAAGTCTGTTGTCCCATTAATATAAGACGTAATTCCATTATGTCCCCTTTAAAGATGTGCATTCACAATAGAATTACCAAATAATGTTATAATAAAAATCTAGCGTAGCGTTAGTTCTGGCAGGTCACGTTAGTCAAGCTCGCATCAGCTGACTCTCAGCTGATCCCCATCTACCTATAGGAATACGACACCTATCTAAGCATTCACATATAAGGTCCTTCAGTATTATCAGCAGTTTTCGCATTGCTCAATAGCTAATTACCCTCCTCCATCCCCAGCTCCTCCTCTGTCAGTCAGGATTCAGCCTTCTGATTATCCTTTGAATCAGACTAATTCTAAAATGTGTACATAACATTGAACTTAAACGATATCTGCAATACATTTATGTTGGTTTTGTTCTGTTATATTTTGAGTTAATAATATAAACAAAAAGAGAAAGATGAAATATTTTATATATTTTGGAGACCTTTCTTAGAAGATCTATACAGCATTAAATTGCAGTAAAGATGAGTAACTCATGAATTATTGATTCAAGGAAGCCAGATTAAATCATTAGTACATCATAATTTGTGTCTAAAGCAATGTAGTGAAGTAGACTGATTATTCCAGTCAGCTTGTCTGGTGTAACCAAGGTGTAAGTATCTTTCTTAAAAGCACAATGTTGATTGCCATTAGGCAACAGCACTCCCAAACTATAGCTATACATTAATGAAAACACTGCCTTAAACTGAAAACTGTTTTTCCTGTTAGTATGCTCTCTGCTTAACAGCGCTTTAACAAAAAGGCATATTTATAAATACAAAAAAAAAAAATGGCCCTTTTGCTTTTAAACGCTACTAAAAACTTCAAACTAACTATCTGTGTCAAGCTTGGGCAGCTAATGTGTTCCCAAAGGTCATATAACAGTGTTAGGAAAAGATAAATATGTACAAGAAAAATGCAATTCCATCCAATAAGCCTATTTACATTCTTAAAAATAAAGGTTCCAAAAGGGAAGCCATGCAACTGAAGAACCATTTTTGGTTCCACGAATAACCTTTTTATCCACTATAAAGAACCTTTTGTGGAATGAAAATTTTCCATGGATGTTAAAGCTGCAGTCCGTAACTTTTGGCGCTCTAGCGGTTAATAAACAGAACTGCATGCGTCTCACGGAAGAACATTGTAGCCGGAGCTACTTCTCTCTGTGTCACGGTCACGGTGTGTGGAGGCAGGCAGGATGACGAGGATTCAAATAAGGATATTTAATGTAGAGACAACAAGGCAGATTTGGGTAGATGAGAGACACACTCGGGGTAACAGTCACAATAATCGACAATACTAGAATACAAGAGAACACAATGAGGATAATTAACTAATGATTGAACGGGCTAAACCAACAAAAGGGGAAGAAACAGTCCACAGGGGCATTACATTACTCCCCCCTCCCAGAAGGTGCGTCCTCGCACCATAGAAACAGAGGGAGGGGCGGAGGGGGACTAGGAAGAGGGAAAAAGCAGTGGATGTGAGATGGTGACGGGGAAGGCAAAGGGCTGGCAGGCAGACCAGACTGGTGGAGGTTCCGGCGGAGGACGAACTTCCAGGAGGAGGACGGCTAACAGAGTCCAGGGAGGTGTCGATGGAGGAAGCCAGGGAGACGTCGATGGAGGGAGGAGCCAGGGAGACGACAGGAGGGAACCGGAGCAGGAGGAGGAGCCAGGTGGGACCCAGGCCACAGCCATAATAGCAGCCCACAATGGAGCGAGGAGGAATGTCCACCGACTCCAGGGGGCCGACCAACGGCGGAGGAGGAGCCCGAGCCGGAGAGCCAACGAGCCAGGGGGATGCCGAGGATCCGGGGGGGCCAGGGTGGAGCCGAGGGCTCTGGCGACCGAGGCGGAGGTCCAGAGATCCACGGTGGAGCCAGAGCGACTGAGGACCAAGGTGGAGTTGATGGGAGGAAGGAGCCCAACGGAGCCGGCAGGACAGAGCGACGAGGCGCAGCCAGAGGAGAGGAGTCCAGAGGCGATGGCGGGTCGACGCCCGGTAATTGCTTTTCCTAATTGTTTTCACCTGGTTGAGTCCCAAACCCTTTGGGTCAGTGATCAGCCGGAGGGACGAGGGAGCCCGGTGGAGCTGATGGATCGATGGGTGACGGTGGAGTGGGCTGACCTGGGGATCAGGGGCCCTTCCTGGGCTGACCTGGGGATCAGGGGCCCTTCCTGGGCTCAGGTTTATGCTCCATACTGCGGGGAGATGGTGGGTTGGGCTCAGGGTCCTGAGTGGGGCTGGTGTTGTTGTCCACGGTCAGCTGGGACTTGCAGGACACCAGCACCCACTCGATGAAGGTGGCGAGGCTCTCTCGAGGACCATTCCCAGACAACTGCTCTCGTGTGGTGGCGTTTAGTCCAACTTGATAGAAGGTACAGAGGCAGTTGTCCGGGTAGTGCGTGAGGTGGGCCAGGGACAGAAAGTCGTCTGTGTGGTCCTCAAGAGAGCGTTCCCCCTGCTCCAGCAGGAAGATTTGGAAGGCGGGGTAATCCATTATAAAAAATAAAAACTGACAAAAACCGGGAAAACAAACGAGGGGAAAGACGCCGCTATACTTTACTTTTTTGGTTGGTTATTCTGTCACGGTGTGTGGAGGCAGGCAGGATGACGAGGACGACAAGGATTCAAATAAAGATATTTAATGTAGCGACAACCAGGCAGATTCGGGTAGATGAGCCACACACACTCGGGGTAACATTCACAATAACCGACAATACAAGAGACAGGAACTTATAGGCCAGATAACGAGGGGCAGACAGGTGAGCACACTGAGGATAATTAACTAATGATTGAACGGGCTAAACCAACAAAAGGGGAAGAAACCACAATAAACAGTCCACAGGGGCGTTACACTCTGTTTATGTCTATGACGAATCACACAGGTACTAGGCTACTCCGCAACCTACCCGAACCAGTCTAAAATAGTCAGAATATAAACATTTATTATAGGTGTACCGTAATGATTCAGGATAAACCAAAAACACGGTTTGGAAAATGGATTCATGGTGTACTCGCTTATTATATAAATTTTGTTCATTTTGAACACAAAAAAGTTACGGACTGCAGCTTTAAAGGTTCTTCATGGAATCATCAATGCCCAATATCCAGTGAACCTTTAATTTTAAGAGTCTTTTGTGAATCTACAAAGCCCATTTCTTTAGCTACCATTAGGAATAGCTAGATAACCAGTGTAATTTCTCTCATTCACCTAGTTTTACATCTGAGCATTTCTACCTCTTGTGCCGTCTCATGTATAGCAGGTCTCGCAACGCCGCTGGATCCGGTTCCTCCCATTCTGACGAGGAAGAACCACCATCCTGGTACAAAACCTTCCTGAAACGTGTCCTCTGGGCCGCACTCCCGCTGCAGATCTTCCTGCTGCTGGTGCTGGTGGTGGCCTGTCTTGTGCCTACGTCTGAGGACCACTGCAGCTGTGCCCAACTCAACAATTTCACCCACTCCTTACACCCAATGCTCAGCTACACCAAGGGGCCTCCGCCTATGTGAGCTCCACTTTGAAGTCAAGACGGCAGCTCAGCGTCAGGTTTCCCTCTAAATTGACAACTGCCGTTGAGTTTGGCAGCCATTATCGTGTCCTTGTACAGCAAATACAGCTGCTAATTTTACAGTATGTCACTCTGAGTCTCGTGTAGATGTTAGAACGAAGCCTATTGCACTGAAAACTGCTGTCAGATAAGTGTCGTTAGTGCTACTGATGTTCTTCCATGTTTGATGTGAAGGAGGAAACTAGAGCGTAGGATATTAACTCACTGTGAGTTAATCAGGTCTTTTTTAATCATGGAAAGATCAAGTTTATTGCGAAAAAACTGAAAGGTGTTGGGTTGCTTGTATCAAATGAATAACTTGTAAAAAAGAGAAGATAAAACATTTATGAACTCTATATTGCAATTATTTTTTTTATATGTATTTTTTGCATGTGTTCATCCTTTGGTTTTAAAACAATCGTTGATTTTATTGGATTAGTCATTGTTTATTTTTTCATTTTTGATCTTAACTAACCTGCTGTAATATTCAAGGTAACTGTGTCATGAATATACTTTACTGAATGCAAACCACTGATATCAAAGAAAAGGATATTTATGTATGTACATAAGTACTTACCTAAGAAACCTTCGCAATGAAAATACACCTATGATATACACATAACCTGTTGATAAGGATTTTTCATTACAATTAAAGACTGAATGACCATAATTTGTTTAATTGTGAATCATAATTATTTTCTTACCTATTTGCTGATGGAGTCGCAGTTTAAACACTGAAATGATTTGCTCGTAATATTTACAGGGTTGTATTACCCAGTTAACAGGGAACGTTCTCAGAACTTGACTAGGTTCTGTTATGAATGAACATTCTTCCAGGAACATTAATAGAATGTTCATTTAAAATGATCTGGTCTTTAATAAAAATGTTTTTTATACATTGTATTTATACAGAAAACATTCAAAAGTAACTTCCCATGTTTGCAAAAGGATAAAATGGAATGTTCTCTTAGTGTTCTCACTAACATTTACAATTTTAAAACATTAACTGGATGTTTTGAATGTTCTTAGAATATTCAGAAACAACATTTCTCTATCTTACTGGGAACATTAGCTAAACATCCTTAGAACACGTTTTTTGTTGGGTAAACACATCAAATCATTGCATTCTTCCATTAACCCAGAGTCTCATTTATCGCAACGAACATGGTAAACATCTCTTAATATTTAATGAAATACTTTCCATTAATATGATGCATGCATAAAATGTGTTTATTTGGTTACAATACATTTACATTTAGTCATTTTGCCGACGCTTTTATCCAAAGCGACTAACAATTGGGGAATACATAAAGCAATTCTTATCCAAAACACCACAAATGACCAGAGAATATAGGGACCTGTGATTGGAGTTTTTTGTATTTGGTCTGCAGGATGGCCAGCTCCTCACGCACCGTCTCAGTGGCCTGTTTAGAGTGTGTGAGGGGCTGCTGGATTACAGACTCCTCCATTGCCAAACCGCTGTCAGTCAAACCTGAATACTGACAGACAGAGCCTGATGCATCTATAGCAACTGTAACATTCACCCAGCTAACAGGGAACATTTTCAGAATGTTCTGGCAAGGCTGTCTCTCAAAGTTATGAACAAATGTTCTTCCAGTAACATTAGAATGTTCGTTCAAAGGATTTCTGGTTCTGGTTTTAATACTATTCTCAAAATGTTTAAAAAAGCACAAATCTTCACCAAATTGCATATGGCTTGTTGATCAAAACTGATGAGTCGATTCTCACTTAAACTGTCAAACTCTTCACAACTTCTCAAACATTTTTCATCGTGTAAGCCATCACATTCAAAACGATCCATTCAATTATGAAGGATATTTAATGTAGCGACAACCAGGCAGATTCGGGTAGATGAGCCACACACACTCGGGGTAACATTCACAATAACCGACAATACAAGAGACAGGAACTTATAGGCCAGATAACGAGGGGCAGACAGGTGAGCACACTGAGGATAATTAACTAATGATTGAACGGGCTAAACCAACAAAAGGGGAAGAAACCACAATAAACAGTCCACAGGGGCGTTACACTCTGTTTATGTCTATGACGAATCACACAGGTACTAGGCTACTCCGCAACCTACCCGAACCAGTCTAAAATAGTCAGAATATAAACATTTATTATAGGTGTACCGTAATGATTCAGGATAAACCAAAAACACGGTTTGGAAAATGGATTCATGGTGTACTCGCTTATTATATAAATTTTGTTCATTTTGAACACAAAAAAGTTACGGACTGCAGCTTTAAAGGTTCTTCATGGAATCATCAATGCCCAATATCCAGTGAACCTTTAATTTTAAGAGTCTTTTGTGAATCTACAAAGCCCATTTCTTTAGCTACCATTAGGAATAGCTAGATAACCAGTGTAATTTCTCTCATTCACCTAGTTTTACATCTGAGCATTTCTACCTCTTGTGCCGTCTCATGTATAGCAGGTCTCGCAACGCCGCTGGATCCGGTTCCTGCCATTCTGACGAGGAAGAACCACCATCCTGGTACAAAACCTTCCTGAAACGTGTCCTCTGGGCCGCACTCCCGCTGCAGATCTTCCTGCTGCTGGTGCTGGTGGTGGCCTGTCTTGTGCCTACGTCTGAGGACCACTGCAGCTGTGCCCAACTCAACAATTTCACCCACTCCTTACACCCAATGCTCAGCTACACCAAGGGGCCTCCGCCTATGTGAGCTCCACTTTGAAGTCAAGACGGCAGCTCAGCGTCAGGTTTCCCTCTAAATTGACAACTGCCGTTGAGTTTGGCAGCCATTATCGTGTCCTTGTACAGCAAATACAGCTGCTAATTTTACAGTATGTCACTCTGAGTCTCGTGTAGATGTTAGAACGAAGCCTATTGCACTGAAAACTGCTGTCAGATAAGTGTCGTTAGTGCTACTGATGTTCTTCCATGTTTGATGTGAAGGAGGAAACTAGAGCGTAGGATATTAACTCACTGTGAGTTAATCAGGTCTTTTTTAATCATGGAAAGATCAAGTTTATTGCGAAAAAACTGAAAGGTGTTGGGTTGCTTGTATCAAATGAATAACTTGTAAAAAAGAGAAGATAAAACATTTATGAACTCTATATTGCAATTATTTTTTTTATATGTATTTTTTGCATGTGTTCATCCTTTGGTTTTAAAACAATCGTTGATTTTATTGGATTAGTCATTGTTTATTTTTTCATTTTTGATCTTAACTAACCTGCTGTAATATTCAAGGTAACTGTGTCATGAATATACTTTACTGAATGCAAACCACTGATATCAAAGAAAAGGATATTTATGTATGTACATAAGTACTTACCTAAGAAACCTTCGCAATGAAAATACACCTATGATATACACATAACCTGTTGATAAGGATTTTTCATTACAATTAAAGACTGAATGACCATAATTTGTTTAATTGTGAATCATAATTATTTTCTTACCTATTTGCTGATGGAGTCGCAGTTTAAACACTGAAATGATTTGCTCGTAATATTTACAGGGTTGTATTACCCAGTTAACAGGGAACGTTCTCAGAACTTGACTAGGTTCTGTTATGAATGAACATTCTTCCAGGAACATTAATAGAATGTTCATTTAAAATGATCTGGTCTTTAATAAAAATGTTTTTTATACATTGTATTTATACAGAAAACATTCAAAAGTAACTTCCCATGTTTGCAAAAGGATAAAATGGAATGTTCTCTTAGTGTTCTCACTAACATTTACAATTTTAAAACATTAACTGGATGTTTTGAATGTTCTTAGAATATTCAGAAACAACATTTCTCTATCTTACTGGGAACATTAGCTAAACATCCTTAGAACACGTTTTTTGTTGGGTAAACACATCAAATCATTGCATTCTTCCATTAACCCAGAGTCTCATTTATCGCAACGAACATGGTAAACATCTCTTAATATTTAATGAAATACTTTCCATTAATATGATGCATGCATAAAATGTGTTTATTTGGTTACAATACATTTACATTTAGTCATTTTGCCGACGCTTTTATCCAAAGCGACTAACAATTGGGGAATACATAAAGTAATTCTTATCCAAAACACCACAAATGACCAGAGAATATAGGGACCTGTGATTGGAGTTTGTTGTATTTGGTCTGCAGGATGGCCAGCTCCTCACGCGCCGTCTCAGTGGCCTGTTTAGAGTGTGTGAGGGGCTGCTGGATTACAGACTCCTCCATTGCCAAACCGCTGTCAGTCAAACCTGAATACTGACAGACAGAGCCTGATGCATCTATAGCAACTGTAACATTCACCCAGCTAACAGGGAACATTTTCAGAATGTTCTGGCAAGGCTGTCTCTCAAAGTTATGAACAAATGTTCTTCCAGTAACATTAGAATGTTCGTTCAAAGGATTTCTGGTTCTGGTTTTAATACTATTCTCAAAATGTTTAAAAAAGCACAAATCTTCACCAAATTGCATATGGCTTGTTGATCAAAACTGATGAGTCGATTCTCACTTAAACTGTCAAACTCTTCACAACTTCTCAAACATTTTTCATCGTGTAAGCCATCACATTCAAAACGATCCATTCAATTATGAAAAATTGGTATACACGCATGTATATTCCATAAATATCTGACATTGACATTGTTTGTACTGTCTGCTAAATTGGCAAATGACCTCTGATTGCAATACAATTTGAATCAACCATTCAACCATTTAACCAATCAAGTTTGGGAGCATATATATGTAGATTGCCCACAGCACAATCACTAACATTTTTTGAGAATGCAGGACTTCCACAACCCTGAACCGCAGCAACATGCTCCTGGAAGAGCAATTGGAAGACGTGTACGAATACGTGGTGGTGGTGTTAGAGGAAGACATAATAGAGGAAGAGGTGGAAATAGAAGAGTCAGCGTTTCTGATTAAATCAGAGCCACACTTGTGGATCATGTCATAAATCGCGGTTTTACAACGGAAGAGGCTGGTCGAAGAGTACAGCATAATGTAAACTGGTCCACAGTGTCATCAATTGTGCAAACTTTTCGTAGGGAAAACCGGTAAATATGTATTTCTTTTTGTTTTACAGTATGTAAAGCATTTTTATAAACAACAATATTGTAAAGGTAAATGCAAGTCTATTTGTACATTCAATAGAACTGCACAACAACCTCGAGCTGGTGGCAGAGCAGCAGTAGTTAACCATCAGCAAGAACAAGAAATTTGCAACATGGTCATAGCCAACAACTCCATCAGGCTAAGAGAGATCCAAAGTGCAATCATAAATGACAATGTCTTCGCAAATATAAATTCTGTCAGCATTTCCACCATAGACAGAGTTTTGAAAAGACA